CTCCCAAGACTTCTTAGAGAAGCGTTTTTTCACTGTATTTTGAGACAGAAGGGAAAAGAAGCCTCAAACAGCAGTTCTTCATGCCTCACAGCACATGCTGCTAAAGACATTTCACAGAAGTCAATGATGAAGCAACTGATGATGAGCAGATACTTGAACTTGAGGTCAAAATAGAGCTCAAAGACATAATAGCCAAAGCTGAACAAGAGAGCCACAACTCCATCCTATCTTGACACAACCAAGTCACTTCCCACCAGGTAAGTAGAGCTCACATTCCAGTCACTAACTTAAATGGAAAAATAGTAACTGTATATGGAAGCCGGTATAGAAAGGTACTTTAAGTACATGGCCCTACCAACACCATAATAGCATTTTTACATGCTAAGCACATTTTCCCCATTGAAATTAAATCCAAGATTTCATCTACAAGCCTGAAACACTCTCTCTTCCCGAGAAAACATTTCATGGGCCAGGAACAACAGAAGAGAAGCAATCTGAGAGCAGGACTAAGAAGCACTAGTCTCATAACTGGAGTGCAGCAGCACCAGAGGCACAGGGCAGGAAAACACTTGGCTGCAGCTTGCAGAGGCCATGAGCACTTGTAGAGGACATGTTGCTCACAGGCTGCACAGCACCTCTCAGCGCATCTGCAAAGTATTGCCCAGCCCTTGCCAGTTAAGCCTTGCTGGCACTGAGCATGCTGACCCACTCCTACAGGCAATACTGCCATAGGACTAACTCCAGCCAGGGCTAGAGAGCACCCTTGAGACAATTAAGCAGAGTATCCTACTAACAGAAAGACTTACTCCAGCAGGTCTGGCCTGGGGGCACCAGAAACAGCCCCGGGGCCTCCCCTCTGTGCCCTAATGTGTGGGATATGGGCTCTGCTTCAAGCCCTAAAATGTAAAACTCAGTCTGTTTCTGAGCCTAGAACTGGCCTAGGATCTGGTTTCAAGCCCCCAAACACCACACTTGGGCTCTTATCTCGGCTCTAACACTGGTTGTAAGAGCTTTGTGTTGAGCCCCCAAATACACAGGAGCAACTTAGTCTCTGTTTCTGAACCCAAACACGCAGGGCTTGGTCTCTGTTTCAAGCCCCACAAACCAGCACTTGGTCTCTGTTTCCAGACTTGAACATGGGGAACTGCCTCAATATCCCTATGCCTGAGCCCCGTTCTGTGTCTGTAAAAATCAAGACTGAGTCTCTGTTGCTGAGCCCTACATCTGGTCAAGTAAGCCTGGTTTCAAGCCCCCCAAACGCAGCACTTAGTTTCTGTTTCCAGACTTGAATGTGGGGAACTGTCTAAATCCCGTGTGCCCGAGCCCCAAACCAGCCGCTGAGCCTGGTCCCGAGGCTGCAAAACGCAGGACTTAGGCTCTGGTCCAGAGCCCTAAACCGGCCAAATGAGCCTGGTTTCCAGCCCCAGACACACAGGACTTTTAGTCACCCTTCCCAAGACACGAATATGTGTCACTGCCTTGACTCTGTGTGCCTGACCCCCCAACCCCACAGGCTTCACATATGGTTGATGAGCACCAAACCAGTCCCTGAGCCCAGGGCTGAGTCTGCCAAACACAGGACTTCGGCGCTGTTCCTGTGACCCAGAACCAACCCAGTGAGCCCAGTTTCAAGAGCCACTGGGCAGGACCTGAGCTCTGTCTTAGGGCCAAGCTTGGGCCTTCCCCAGCAGCCACGGTCAGGCCTGGGGCTTGCTCTTGGCTCCGCAGCACCCAGTCAGGGCTGGGTCCCCACTCCCAGGGGTGCTGGGTGGGCGAGGGGATGGCTGCGGTGCTGGGTGGGGGGCCGGAGAGCAGGAGGGCCCTGGCCCCAAGCCCCCCCCCACCCCCCGGGCAGAGCCCTGAGCAGCTCAGCAGAGCCCCCCAAAGCTGGGGAGAGCCTAGAAATCAGCCCTGAGAGGGTCCTGCTGGGATTCAGGAGGAGCTGAGGCACCAGCTGGAGGCGTGTGCTCCCCCCATCCCCAGCACCCCCTCCGGAAAAAGATTCACCCCCTTTGGGCTGGGGGTGCCCGGACTCACTGTGCCAGCAAAGCCCAAGCGCATCGGAGCTGCAGCAAATCCTTCTGTGCCGCGAACATCCCCAGAGCCCCCAGGGATGTCTGCAGCCCCCCTGGACACTTTGCTGCAGGGATCCTGACAGGGGGAGCCCAGTCAGTCCCCATGGGTCCCCAGACCCACAGCTCCTCGGTGCATTGCCGGGCAGTCCTGGAGGGAAACGGAGTCCAGACGCTGCCCTGCGGCAGAACAAAGGTCCCTCTTGCAGCCCCCATTTGTCTGAAACACCCCAGGGGAGATCACCGACAGGCAACCTGGCAGAGCCTGAGCCTGGCTTGCTCTAAAGGGCCAACTGGTTTTGGGGGTGAATGAGCAGCGGAGAGATGCCCAGCTGCCACTGTGAGGCAGGGTGGACTTCAGCATCCCGCTCCCATTTGCTGTCCCTTTAGCCCTCTTGTCCTTCACCCCAGAGGATCTGGTCTTGAAGGGGAACATCTGGTCTCGAGGGGGAGTGGAGAAAGAAGGGCCAGGAGGCTGGGCAGATTTGGGGTCCAGGGCACAGCGCAGCAGTTGGATTTCCATCCTTCCATCCCTCCAAATTTGCTTCCCTCTCTGCAATGCACTCCCCAGGCAGGACTGGCGATGATTTCAGCTGGATTTTTCCCTGGTTCCAGGCTTGACTCTGGACACCAAAAGAGGATAACTTGTTGAATTTTCAGTTTTCAGGGGGGTAACTGGAAAGCCTATCTCTAAGGAGACCCTGCAGGAAACCCCGCAGAGCTCCACAGTGCTCCCAGCAGAAATTTGGGATTGGGTTGGGACAGATGTACTCAGGCACGGTTTGGCTGTTGAAGCCTGGCTGCCAGGACCGACCCCTCATGCTCAGCCAATGTGCTCGTAGGTGTCACTCCCCCAAAACCAGAGACCCCAACCCAGCTGCTGCAGGGGCAGGAATTTAACCTGATGCTGTACAGTTTGCTGAGGCACCCTCTGGATTTGCGCTTCCCAGGATAACAGCCAATACTTCCCAGAAGCATTAGACGCTGCCAATCCCCCGGTGTTTGACACCCTGGCGTGGCAGGGGTGTTCATTGATGCTGCCCACACTCATGGAATGGTTTCTTGGGGAAGGAGACCTGGAGGCACAAACTGGCACCAGTCTGCTGGTACTGGTGTGCGCCGGGGCAACCCAGCCTGGCGTCTCATTAATTATTACGCCTGACAAAGGTTGTTGTTCTAGCAGTTGGAAGGCACCTACCTCCAAAATTCAGCCCTCATGGGGTGCATGGATGGGCATGACCTGAGCTGATGCCGAGCAGGGATGGGAGGCAGGATCACCTTGGTTTCATCAAGTATGTGTTTATGTCTGTGCTTGGATATTTTCTGATGCATTTCTCAATCTCACTTGGATTTCCCCTTCTCTGATTCTTCATGAACTTCACCTGCTGAAAAGATGAGACTGGAGAGAGGGGAAATCTTGTATATGGGGCATCTTATATACGTACCTTACATATGCACATCTCCTGTAATTGGGCATCAGGTACACACACCCTATAGAAAGGGGAGCCTTGTTGTATTACAGAGAGGGACAGTGCAGAACCCAAATCCAGGGGGATGAAGGCACAGTGGGTTGGTGATGGCAGCTGCCCATCCCAGAGGGGTCAAATGTTGGCAGGGGGGAGGAGGGGGTGAAGGGGGCGGTGGGAAGAGGGCACAGACAGGAGGTCACCACTGTGCCTGGGGAAGGAGGGCTGGCTGGTTTCAGACTAGTACACCACCAGTTTTCATAATTTTTCATATCCTGATGAGTTGTTAAGCATCCCTTTGGATTGCAGTGATTTTACAAATATCTTATATTTCCTTTAACTCATACACAGGTTTTTATTCAAGACAGGCAGAAGAGGTGGCAATTCAACAGCATGCTGCAGGGAAATTACGGCTTGAATCATACAGGTTAGACACAAAAGAGACCAAATATCTGTGTTTATACCCAAATAGGCCATTACCCAAGTTTCTTCTGCAAGCACAGTGTAATCAAACCCTTCTCTGATCTCTAACAGCTCTGAACCCTCTGAGCATTCACACTGTGTTGCTGCTTCTGGTTTTACTGTTCCCTGAGTCTAAAAACGTTGTCCCCGTACTGAAGAGCATCTCAGCTGGCCCATAGGCCTAGATGGGATGGCTGGAAGGGGAAAAGCACCTTTAGTCCCAGTAAAAGTAAGAAAACCCATTTCTCCACACACCTGGAGGTACACAGGGCCCTGGTCACCTCTGTTTAAACCTCTGTTTTAACTCTGGGTTAAAAGAATAGAAACTTAAAAACGAGAACACAGCTATTGCAGGATTGTCCCAAGAAACAAGCCCACCACTGCACAATTTGGAGGGTGGTCCATGACTAGCAGCAACCAGCACAAATGCCACTTGCCCCAAAGAGCTGCAAACTCTCTGTATGGGGAAGGAGCAGCGCATGCTCTCAGAAAGTGGCAAAGCCTCGGGCCCGCGCATGCACGACCCCCAGCCATCGGTCATTTTGTGGTGGGAGTCACCCTGACCCAGTGCCGGTGAGAAACGGTCATGGCAGAGCAGGGCACCACATCAGGGCACCGTCGCCTTCGTGGAGCAGTTGTCCCCACCTAATCACCGCCCTGGGAGAGTTGCGTTCACTTGCACCCCAAAAATGCGGGCTCCTTCCTCTCACAGGGCTGGGAGGACCATTTAGTGGCCCGACGGCACATGGATTTGCCACCCACAGGACGGTTTACCCAGCCCCTCTCCTCTTGTTGTTCATGTTGTTCATCATCCAGGAAGACCCTGCCCGAGGTCCCGCAGCAATGCACCCTCGTTTTGCCCAGTTAATGATTAAATTTGGGCTGACTTTGGAGGTGCCGGCACCCAGGCTATGGCAGGCCAAGGATGCTCGCCCTCTGCCCTGCCACCGGGATTAATCATTCACCCAGCAATTGGCACCGCATCCGTATAAAAGCCAGGATGGATTTCCCAGTGCCGCTTTTCCGCAGGAGGAGGGAAAACAGCCCCACCATGAAGGCAGCTCTCACCCTGCTCCTGCTTTTAGCCACCGCGCATGCCGAGCACCGAGGTAAGGGCTTTGCTGTTCCCCAGGGACAAGGGGTACGAGGCTGGGGACCATCAGCTCTGGTGGTTTTTGGCTCTCCCCAGCCTACTGCCAAATCACTGGGTGGGAATCAGAGAGAGGAAAGGGAAGGCGTGGGGTGATGTTTCAGTACCCGGGACACCCCTTTGGGGTGGTGCTGGAGAAGCCGGGAGGGGAAGAAGCTGGGCTGGGGTTTGGGGCGAAGGGAGTGGGAAAGGACAGTGTCACAGGGCCCGGCTTCTTCCTTTTGCACAGGAAAAATTATATTTTCTGACCCCCTTCACAAGTACCATTTCATTACAAAACCCACCCCTTGGATGGAAACGATGCTCTGTGCCACCCCCTTGCTGCCTTCATGGCTTCAAAATCATCCACTTGCCAAAAAGCACCCCTCAAAACTTCCTTCTCCCATACTGCTTTACAAAAACAAAAAGAAACAAAACAAGTTGGCACTTACAGCAGGACCAACAGCCACTGTTCCTGCGAGGAAATAGAATTGCCTTTTACCGCGGCTTCCCCTTTTTTCCTCAATTCTACCAGCCTCGCAAAAGCCCCCTCACTCTTTCTTTCCCACTGAATCCACATGACCTTCAGTGTAACGGTACATAACCCGTAGGTTTTGTGGAGATGACCCCACTCTGCACTGTAAAACTAGTCAATACTGGTATCAGTGTTTACCCTGCCAGTACCAAAGTCTAACCAATGCACTTTTTAGCAAAAATCAATGGCATTTTTCCAGGGATGAGAGAGTCTCCAGGGATGTCTTCACCGCTGGGTGCTCCTGACCTCCAGGGTCCTGTCTCCTGAGCTCCCAGCCCTTATGCTCTCCAAACCGTGCCAGAAAAAACAGCACCACGCATCTCAAGCACAGCGAAATGTCCACTTGGGCAAGGGGCAAAGGCACCTAATGTGTTACCTGCAGCTCTCCCAGATACAGGGAGAGGTTTTCCCCCTGCCCTCTTCTTTACAGAGCTTTTGGTTTATGTGCTAGCACCTCCCCAGGGACTACCACCAAGTCCGACGTGAGAAAAGAAGTAACTGTGTAAAAAAATAATAACCCTCAAGGGAATGAAGGAAGAGCCTTGCAGCCTTTGGACCACATTTTGTGGTGGCATAGCATCCCTCCTTCCCACGTCACCACCGTTGCTGGGGAGGGAAGCGGAAAGCGAGAACAAAATAGGGGGTTAAGTGCGAACAAGCTGTTCTCCAGAAGGTCATTTTCCCTGATAAAAAGCAGAAGACCCAAGTTATTTTCCATAGGAGACTCAATTAAGCAGATCTTATGCTGCTTTGGTTTTTGTTTTGTTTTGTTTTGTTTTGTTTTCCCTTCAAGGAGAAAGGTTGCTGGAAGTGAGCTCTATTGCCACCCAAACAGAAGGGAGAAGCCAGCATTTTCCCATATCCCAATCCCAGGAGATGCAGGCTCACCAGGTCCTGGCTCTCCAGCCAGCATCCAGGCTGCACTCGAGAGAGCCAAGGCACAAATCCTGCTCACAAATCCTCTTTTTTTCCACATTTACAGGTAGACCTTATGTCCGGGACAAAGTCTGCCAGGAGTTCAAGGCCCTGGGGAAGGAGGACTTCCGAACCCTGTAGGTACCTCTTGCCATATTTGCCCTCCCAGGACACTCAGCACCTAAGCCAAGACCACAAAAAATGAAATAAAAATAATCTTGAACGGGGAAGAAATATTCACTCCCTGCAAATGTGGACTCAGATGGTTCTTAACAAGAAGAAAAGTTTGCTTCATTGTTGAACTCCTCAAAATCAATTAAATAATCAGCCATTCTAACAGAGCTGGCACATGATCCCTTGAAAGGGCAGCCCCTAGCCCGAGACCCACTCCTTGTCTTTCCCGGCTGTTTTCCAAGGAATATGCTGCTATTTCTTGCAGCACCACAGTGGCTCCTGTTCAGCTGATGGTGTTAAACCCTGTTTTGGCAGAATGATGATGCAATGGGATGATTGGGGTTTTTTACATAAACAAGAGAAATATGCCGCCAGCTCATCCTCTCCTTACTCCCTGCTCCCAGGACCATTATTGCCAACAGCAGGAAATTCTCCAATGCCACCTTTGAGGAGATCAGCCACCTCGTTGGCGAAATTGTCTCCCTGGCTGAAACCTGCTGTGCCGAAGGTGCAGACCCCTCCTGCTACGATGCCGGGGTGAGGCTAACCGAAACCAGGGGGCGGACGCCAAAATGGGGCGTTGGGGGGGAAGGGATGGGATTGCCCCCACCATGTAACTTCCTCTCCCTCCCGTAGTCCTCAGCTCTGTCGGCCAAATCCTGCAGCAAGGACTCGCCCTTCCCGGGTCACCCCGGCACGGCCAGGTGCTGCACTCAGGAGGGGCTGGAGCAGAAGCTGTGCCTGGCCGCCCTGCAGCACCCACCCCAGCAGCTGCCCCGCTACCTCCAGCCCTCCAACGAAGAGCTCTGCCAGGCCTTCAAGAAGGACCCCAAGGATTTTGCCGACAGGTAAGCTGGGCTGGGGACAGCACTCGGCCTCACCAGTAACGCCCAGTTGGGTTCAGTTGCGTGCCAGCACTGGCCGACGTCCAGGTGCCCGGCCAAGCAAACCTCACCCAGTTTCACCCCTCTGCCATCGCATCCATGGGGCGTCAGAGTAAAAGGTTGGGGTGTCCTGTGTTTGCACAGGCCCCAGAAACAGGATTTTAGAAGAAGGATGAGGGGTGCCATTGCCTGCACAAGCACTTGGAGAGGGGCCACCAGCCCATTTGCTGGCAGCACGGGGTGATACCTGGAGAGAACTCCCATCCCCTCACACCCCCAAAACCCCCACATCGCCTGCACCCGAGCATCTAGTCGTGGGGCGCCGGGTCTCCTCAGCCCACCTTTGCCACAGGTTTCTGCATGAGTACGCCAGCAGCTATGGCCAAGCACCCCTGCCTGTGCTCCTGGGTTCCTCCAGGACCTTCCTCTCCATGGTCTCTACCTGCTGCATCTCCCCTGCACCCACTGCCTGCTTCCTGAAGGAGGTGAGGGCCTTCAGACCCCTGGGCTCATCCTTGCTCCCCGGGGAGCCAGGCGAGCACAATGCTGACAGCCCGAGGAGAAGTGGCTGGGAATGGCTTACATTTCCCTCGGAGAACACCTCTGTCTTCTTTTTGTGGCAGAAACTGGAAAGGAAAACCCTCTCCCTCCTCACCCTGATGTCCAACCGGGTTTGCTCCCGCTTCACGGCATACGGGAAGGACAAAGTCACCTTCAGGTAAAAGGGGAAAATGGCCTTTTTTTCTCCTTGAACCTGTCTCAGGCTGAGAGCGTGTTCCTGTTTCCAGCCGTGGATCCTGCTCTCAGGCAGCATTCACAAAACTAAATTTTAATTAAGATGCAAAAACAAGCATGAGGTCGTGTTCCATGGGAACACTCTGCATATAGCAGGGGTGCAGAGTGAGCCCTGTGGCTCCTCATCATCTCCCTCCTGCACCTCTATGCAGAGAAACACCTGCTTGGAGCTTTGAAGAGGGGAAGTGGGGCTGAGCTCCCTAAGCCCCTCGTATGCCTCGTGCCTTCCCAGCTACCTCACCTCACTTGCTCAGAAGATGCCCAGTGCTTCCTTCGAGGACCTTTTCCCCCTGGCAGAAGACGCTGCCGAGGTGTTTTCTGAGTGCTGCGACTCGGTGGCCGAGGACTGCATGCAGAAGAAGGTAGGGGAGCCAGGATGCCACCCCAAAACCACCTCCCGAGTCACAGCAGGGCCTTAGGGAGTGAAGCCCAGCACAGTGAGGGGGTCTTCAGCCTCACCAGCCCTGGCGGGATGCCGAAGCCCGCACATCCCTTTCTCCCCTCTTTGCAGTTATCGGAGCACACGGCCAAAGCCTGCAGCACGCTGTCGGCCCAGGGCGAAAGGTTTGCTGACTGCTGCCAGGGGAAAAACCTCATGCAGAACTATTTCTGCATCTCAGCTTTGCCACCAGCACCCGCCCCCAAACTGCCCGAGGCACAGAAGCCGCTGAACGAGCAGCTGTGTGGTGAGGAGGGGGCTCGCCACGCTGAGAGGTGAGTGGTACCCATAGCAGCTGTCTGCCTGGCCTTTCCCTCTCCCCTTGCCTTCATTATATGCTTAGATTATTATTAGGATAACCAGGGGAGCATCCTCTCTCCCCTCAGGGGGTCTCTCCCCTCAGGGGTTCTCGCCCCCAGGGGCTGCACAAAGATGCGAAAAGCAGCCCCCACTTCATGCTGAGCACCACTGGTAGTAAAAACTCACATGGCAACTTGTTTTCCCCCGGCTCCAGGTACCTGTTTGAGCTGGCGCGGAGACACACCGACGTCCCTGATGCCTTCTTCAGCAAGCTGTACGACACCAGCGTAAAAGTCAGGGGGGAGTGCTGCTCTACCAAGGACACCTCTGCCTGCCTGGATGGCAAGGTGAGCAGTGGGGATGGCTCCCCTGGGTCTCTGCTCCCCCCCACCCTGGCCCTGTGTCCCCCAAAACCCCTGCGGAGCCTGGTTACAGACCCTCCGCCCCTGCCCCTCCCCAGCGCCAGCGCATGGGAGAAGAGCTGCCTCGCTTCCTGGCAAAGGCCAGTCAGCTCTGCGGGCAGTACAATGAGTTCACTTTCCTTGACTTCAAGAAGAGGTAAGCCTTTGCCCTCCTCCCACTGAAAACTGGAGCAGCAGATGCAATCAGAATTTGACCAAAATTTTGAGGATGCGCAAGTGGAGCTGGTGGTTTATAAGCCTAAATAGCGGCAAAATACAGGGAAGCACAACATATCCCTTGCAGAGCATCCAGTCCTGCTCCCACTGACACCCATGCATGCTCCCTCCACCCCAAAAATGGCATATGGGTATTTAATGCCCCTGGGTCCCCGCTAAAACCCACCAGTCCCCACGCCGCAGGCTGCGGGAGAGCTTGACGCAGATGATGCCGGAGGCCAGCCCTGAGCTGCTGGGGCAGCTGGTGGAGCAACGAGCCGACTTCGCCTCCACTTGCTGCTCCCCCAATTCACCCCCCCTCTACTGCACCTCCAAGGTAAAGCCATGCCCCCCACCTGCCCCTGCACCATGCTGGCAGCCAGCCCCTGCACCCCAGGGTGGCCCCTCGGCTCTTTTTTTCCCCCCTTCCTTTTGCAGGTGAGCTCGGAGCTGGGAGAGACGTGTGATGGGGGGTCCTGCCTGCTGGGTTAGGTGCCCAGAGATGAGCGGCTGGGGCAGAGGGGTCCGGCGTGCCGGTTTCTCCAGCGATGAGCGGATGGAGGGGGGAGGAGTTACAGGTCTGGGGAAAAAGCGGGGGTCATGGCCCTGTGCCCGGAGCTGAGCTCTGCGGGGCACACAGGGAAGTGGGACGCTGGAGGGGAGCATGAGGGTGCCCGGCAGACAGATGCTTCTCCTTGCACCGGGAGAGGAAGGTGTCCCCAAGCCCGCGGCTCCCCGCCACCCGCCAGCAGCACTGCCGAGGTATTGCTGCAGCCGCAATAAAGACTTAAAAAAAAAAAAACAAAACACCATCACTGCTGGAAAGGCTTTCTGCACCCCTGGGGGTGGTGAGGAGGGCAGGGAAGGGGCACTGCCCCTGCTCTGCAGGCAGGAGGAAGAGGAGGATGAGAGCTGCCTGCTCTAGTCCTAGGAGCTAATGGTCTAAAAAATTAAGCAAGAACACTGAAAACACTCATCAAGTGCCCCCCAGGATGGCTCCCTGAGGGTATTTGGATAGTCAGCTAGCTGAAGGCACTAGCCCATCACCCAAGATGGGGGCCTCTGGGCAGTTTTTAGCAGAAGAACAAGATGTAAACATGCCAAGGAAAGAAGGTAACGAAAGCTCAGGGCACAGAACCTGGGCCGTGCAAAGATAAACCAGAAAATTAAAACAGCCTGTGCTGTACCAATAAAACACGGATGAGCTGAAGCGATGGTCAAAGGAAAGCAATAACTGAAATAAAGGGATACAAAAGGAGCTATGTCCTTACCAACGGGGCAGAGGGACTCCATACAAAAAGGGAAAACTCCATGAGAGGCAGAGGATTAATGTGCAGAACTGGGAGAGATCAGTTTAAAGCTAATTAAGGCCCCAGAGTAATTACTTTACTGACAGCGTTAGTAGTCAAGACACCACACTCACCAGACCCAACCTTAAGCCAAAACAAGAAGAAACCCCTGTTCACACTGGTTCCTCTCTGTACTGGAGAGCATCCGCAGCCCCTGGGGCTCTGCTCAGTTCCCCTGCCACATGAGAAAGGAGATAGAGCCATAGAGGCCGCATGGGGTGGCAAAACATTATTATTTTGGAAGAAAGGATAACTTGTCTTTTTCTTTGGTGCAAAGCACGTATCACTAGGCAAGATAAACACCCTTTCTCGGCACTGGTGTGGCCCACACTCTTCTTGCTGGGGGTGGTATCCAAGGCAGCAGCTCTGGGACCAGCCGTGGTCACCACTACGCACCTGGGCCCTGGCCAGACAGAGGGCTCTGTCCCACTGAGCCCATGAAAACAGTTTATCCTGTCAGGAATCAGGTGTTAGAGACCGGCCTGAGCTTTCGCTCCCTTCCGGCGTCACATTTGCATCCATCAAACCCAGGATGTACATAATAAAGGCTAACAATTACAGTGACCTTTGGGGTTTCCAAGAAAAACTGGAGAAATACAATTAAGTAAGCCAAGAACATCTCCTCCGCTGTGTGTCTGTTTCTAGGAAATGCACTGATAGATACAAAAATAAATAAATAAACAAACAAACAAATAAAATAGATAAGCCAGCAGTGCTTACTACCATTGCAGCTTTCCTGGCAAGAAGTGCGCCATGTGATACCCCAAGGGTATTTCTCAACGCCTGAAGGCCTGGGCACGCTGGAGGGAGCAGAAAGCCAAGCCCAGGCTCTCTCCAGAACAGCCTGCATCACTCGCACCCAGAGTGCAAAACTTCTGCCAAGGGTTTTGCCTTACACGTTTTCGGGAGGAGGCATCACTTGCTGCCGTGGTGCCCCATCCTCTTGGCTACCAGGGGCTTAAAAAACCTGAAGCTCTGCTGGCAATCAGCAAATGAAGGCAAAGGGCGTAAGGATGTTTAGCTGTCTGCTCTTCCCTTGCCTCCAAATGCACTCATCCCAGCCCCTATCAGGGGGTTGCCATCTGCCCAACGGCAGCTACGGGGCTGCTGAACCCCACCACGCTGTTGGGTATTGAGGGGACACCCTGAAAACACCACGCAGGGACAGCAGAACTCTTAGAAAAAGAGCAAGCCCGGGGTGTCTCCTGTGACCATGAGCAGCCTCACCAGGCACAAATCCCGGGATAGAAACATCTCGTTTCTGTCCAGCCGCTGGCTTTTGGCCCCCAGCTCCCCAGCCCTAGGCACAGGGGCCAGGCTGCCAAAAGCCACCCACGTTCGGTGCATTTTTGAACTCTAAAAGCACATGAGAAAACACCGCTTACCTCGGTGGGAGGCTTGGGGCAGCCACGCGTGTGCTCTGCCCTCTGTATTTATTTACCGAGCATGGTTATTAGCATTGGTGTTTGGGCTCCCGTTAGCTTTAACGATGTATGGGACAGCCCGATTCTGCCGCATCTTCCTCCCCACTGACTGATCAGGCAAGGGACCACAGCAAGCCATTAAAGAGATTGCATCCCCAGTGTGGTCTGAAACCAGGCAAATCCATTATTAAGGATTTCATTTTAGCAACGGGCCACTTCTCCGAAACGGCTCTCAGGACCTTCCCTGCGCATCCATCCCAGAGCTGATGCCCCATCCCAGCACGAAGGATGCGTCCCAGTTGCTTTGCACCAGAAGCTGCCCACAGTCACCTGGGGAGCTTCCACCTTTTGGGATGGAGGAGCTATGTGTTGCACCACAGCAGCAGAGGAAAAATAAAAATCAGAAAACGCCCTGATCCCCTACCCTGCCTGGGAAAACCAAAAGTTTTGCCGGCAGCAGCCCGCGCAGCACCCGGCAAGGGCTCCTGGCAGGCACCCGCGTTGCACCCTGTGATGGCAAAGCCACTGTCACTGATTACATGGGGACCCCATGGGGGAAAAAAAAAAAAAAAAAAAAAACAGCACCCAAAATAATCAGTTGTTGTTTTTTTTAAAAAAAAAAAAAAAAATCCAGCAAACACAAAACACAACTTTTTTTTTTTTTTTTTTTTTATTAAAACCAGTTGACTTCTGAGAAAGCCCGGGCTGATGGGTACAGCAGCAGGGCTCGAGGGATTCCCATCCAGTCCTCCGCCAACATGGGCAGAAACCACTTTCCTTTTCTACTCTTCATTGCAGTGGGGCTTTTTGTTTGTTTTTTCTTTCAATTTTGTTTACTGTATAACTTTCTTCTTCCTGCCCTCAGCACCACAACAGGCACAAGGCAGATTTGCCTCCTGCATGTTTATCTCTGCAGCTCTCTAACCCATTTCCAGAGATTAGAAAGAAGCAGCAAAGTGCCTATATTATTTTTTTTTCTCAATATTTTATCACTCAGAGCACCCCCTCCTGCCCAGTCTATCTGCTCATCACCCAAATATCAGGGTGCCCAGCAAACCCCAGGCCACTTCCAGCACTTTTGTGCCAGGAAGCTAGGAAAGCCCAAGGCAAAATGTGCCATGAGGTTGGAGCAGGTAATGCAAGAAGGACAGATTAAAAAAAAAAAAAAACAAAACAAAACAAAAAAAAAAAAAAAACAAACAAACAACAACAAAAAAAAAAACCACAAACCAAATACCTCTGCCAGGCAGAAACCATTCCCAACCACAACCATGTTGACCTGTTAATCATGCTAATTGCACAGCAGTAATTAAGCAGCAATGCATTGCAGGTGCCATGGCAAGGTGGAATTAATATCACTAAATGCTTGCAAGGAGGGAAGGAGGGGCTGCAATAGGAAAACCCTGCTCTGAATTGCAGGAAGCACTAAAAACCAGTAAGACTGAATAAAACAGCTTCCAACCTTGACCTTGTCAGCACTCACGGCACCTCCGAGTTACACTCCCGCTCCTGCTGAGAGGAAAGAACAGAACCTTTTAACTGACGTGCATCAGGGTCGGTTTTCCTATAAGCTGGAAAAAAACACTCAAATCTTAGCCCAGCCAGACCATGGCATCACCCAGCCTTTCGGGGGAGCATAGGGTGTTTTCTGCCTCCTCTCCCTGCCCGGCATTGAATGTGGAGGGCAAATTAATTGTTGATGAAGAAAAGGTTCACTCAGTACAGAAATAAATAAGATGATCAACTTCCGTCTCTTTTTTTTTTAAATCAGTTACAAGATCCATAAAAAAATTTTAGAAAGGTTAAAAGTACTAGTTTTATCTGTCCCCAAGACCCATGGGGCAGTTTGCTTTCCCAGCGATTCCTTTCCCCAACCCCTCAGACCAGAGTTTGCTCTTCTGGGCCAGCAACATCCCCACCCTTGACTTAACTACACAGAAAAGCAGCAAGTAAAAGGGCTCATATCTTCTTCAAGTTTTATTTTTTTTTTTTTGTACTGCATACAGCACTCTCCTTAAAGGATCAGCGTTTTCCTCTTCACTCCACAGACAAGGGCTGAACAAAGGCTTTGAACCAGCTGGCAGGCAATAAACAACAGTTTATGAGGGAGAGGACCAGCTCAGAGGTGATACTTGTGCTCACACCTGGGGCTTCCAGCAACTGCAAGGAATAAGTAGTTTCTCTCAGCCCGGCCCCCCAGGGGAGCTGCTCCAGCCCCCCCAGCATCTCCGTGGCCTCCTCTGGCCCCGCTCGAGCAGCTCCGTGTCCTTCTGCTGTTGGGGGCCCCCGAGCTGGCCCCAGCACTGCAGGGGGGTCTCCCCAGAGCGGAGCAGAGGGGGACAATCCCCTCCCTGGCCCTGCTGCCCCCCCTGCTCTGGCTGCAGCCCAGGGCACGGGTGGGTTCTGGGCTGCGAGCGCACGGGGCTGCCTCACGGGCAGTTTTCCCCCTCCCAACCCTCCCAGTCCCTCTCCTCGGGGCTGCTCTCCAGCCATTCCTCGAGGGCCCAGCCTGGGTTTATGCTGGGGATTGCCCCGACCCACGGGCAGGACCTTGCCGTTGGCCTTGTTGAACCCCAGGAGGTTTGCCCGGGCCCCCTCTCCAGCCTGCCCAGGTCCCTCTGGGTGCCATCCCTGCCCTCCCATGTGTCACCGCACCACACAGCTCGGTGTCATCTGTAAACTTTGCAGTTTTCCTCATTTTGCAACCCTGCCCTTTGGTTTGACAGCGTTGGCCATCGCGAGCTGTCACCA